GATAGATAGATAGATAGATAGATAGATAGATAGATAGATAGATAGATAGATAGATAGATAGATAGATAGATAGATAGATAGATAGATAGATAGATAGATAGACAGACAGACAGATAGAGACAGACAGACAGACAGACAGACAGTACGTGGATGGATGGATGGATAGAGAGGCAGAGAAATAGAAAATTAATATGAGGTGAAGGAGATACTTGTGCAAGAAATAACATTTCTTTTTTCCCCCCTCTGGATATGCAAACCGTATCCTGATTTTTAAAAAATTGCTCTGCAACCCTTTTGATTGAAAAACCAGGGTGAAATCTTCAAATAAAAGCCTTTTATAAAATGGCATAATTGGGGGGAAAAATGGGATTATAACTACAAGCCTTACTTTTCATTAACAGCTCCATTTCCCACTGGGAAAGCCCTTGCTTTGGCTATACATTTCACTGTGCTAAAATGCATACAACGGTAAATGTAGGCGTGGGCCTAACGTTACAGTCCAGTATTAGTAATTTAAATATATCACAGATACCCAATGCCCCGTCGTATTATTTCATACGATTGCCATATAAATAGTATAAACTTATGTAGGATAAACGTACTGTATTTGGTGGGGGGTGGTGGTGGTATATTCCCTTTTAGGAGATTTTTAATTGCTAGCAGAGAATGCTTTTTTGCATTGCCAAATTATGGTGTTGCGTGAAGCAACAGACTCTAATCGTGTAACATATTTTGGTTACCTAATTAGGCAGGACAACATGCTAATGATGGTGGGCTTAATCTTGACAAGAGTGAAGTGGGTGATATACCTTTGTTTACTTGTTCTAAAGTCTAATATGAAAGCCTGAAACGCCTTAATTTGGTGAAATAGTAACGGCAGCATTAGTGCCTAGGCTGTGGCCCCACCCTCAGCATTTTATTATAGCAGTATGAAGTATTTTATTTCTATCAGATGCCTGACAATAACCTTTTTAATATGTCCAGCATCCTACTGGGCCATCTAATGCTTGCTTACATTTTCATCCCACTAAAATAAGAGAGGCAAAAGAAGCACATGTCGTCCTGAACCTACGACCACAAATTGAGCCTGAATTTTTTTCCCGTCGCTAAGCGAGACATTTGTTAAGTGAGTTTTGCCCCCTTTTGCGACGTTCCCTGCCACTGTTCTTAAGTGAATCAGCTGCAGTTGTTGTCAGCAACACGGTTGTTAAGTGAATCTGGATTTCCCCGTTGATTTTGTTCATCGGAAGGTCGCAAAAGCGAATCGCACGAACCCGGGACATTAAAACCGTCATAAATACGAGTCGGTTGCGAAGGTTCGATCGTGTGATCCTGGGGAATGCTGCAACAGTTGTCCTTGTGAAAAATCAACCGTAAGACACTTTTTCCCCCAGTGCTGTGGTCACTTTGAACGGTCACCAAATGAACGGTTGTAAATTGAGGACTAACCTCTGTGTGTAGGATTGCAAAATACAAAATTTCGACTTATTTGCCCTGTTCATAGAATTACGTTGTATATCTGTTCAATTAACATCAACCAAAGGAATCACATGTTGGAATTATTTCAGCTAGAATGATCACAATACTCAAGAGATATTTCTTAAAAACGGGCATTTCTTACGTTGTAACTTTAGGCATTAAAAATAAACGGAGAATAACCACGATTATCACCACTTAGTGGGGGTTTAGCCACGACAACTGTCATACTAAATGCACTGTAAATTGTATTGTGTTGCACCGGATTACAAGAAACAGAGAGAGGGAGGGAAGGAGGGGGAGAGAGAGAGAGAGAGAGAGAGAGAGAGAGAGAGAGAGAGAGAGAGAGAGAGAGAGAGAGAGATACACATAGGTAGTCCTCGACTTACGGCCCCAATTGAGCCCAAAACTTTGCTGTTACGTGAGACATTTGTATATAAAATATAAAAATATACGCATTAGAGGTATTCCTTGACGTATAACCACATTTGAGCCTCAAAATTTCTGTTGTTAAGCGAGACAGTTGTCAAGGGAGTTTTGCCCCCATTTTACGACCTTTCTTGCCTCAGTTGTTCAGTGAATCACTGCAGGGGATAAGTTAGTAACCCGGTTGCTAAGCGAATCTGCCTCCCCCGTTGACTTTGCTCGTCAGAAGGTGACAAAACGGGATCACGTGACCCAGGGATACGGCAACGGTCACAAACGTGAACCAGTGGCCAAGCGCCTGAAATTCTGATCACGTGACCACGGTCGTAACGGCGAAAAACGGCCGTAAGTCGCTTTGTGTTTTTTTCCCAGTGCCGTTGTAACTTCGAACCGTCGCTAAACTAACTGTGGTAAGTCGAGGACTACTGTCGTAAGGGTGGGGAGAAAAGAAAGCGAGCCATAATAAAAGCCAGCCTATCTTGGCACGGAGAAGCTGCAGGGATGGGCGGAGGAGGGAACCTCGCAAAAATGGAAAAATGTCCACGGGCCAGCCGCTTTCAAGGGGAGATTAAACATCAAGTCGTATCAGGCAGAGCTTCAGTTAAACAAAAGCAGAGAAAATGTCAAGCAGGAGGTGATTAAAATGAAATGTGTATTTCCTGGACTCTGCTCTGTTCTTTGGTGAGCGTTAAACAACGGCCAGGGTGCGCCGAAAGCATCTGACCTTACCTGAATCGCATCGCCTCAAGGGCCTTTCAGCCGAGTACAACAGCTTGTCGGGTACAACAGCTTGTCGTGAGTTCAGACATGGTGTCGCTGACAGGTTTTTGACGGGCGTGTTCGCCTCGGCAACGCCGAAACGATCTGCTTGCCTGCCTGGGTGGAATATTTTAGTTTTCCTTCGGTTCCAGCACTTCAGCTGCGGGTTTCAGACCCATCGCCACCCCACCCCACCCCCCTGTGACAACTCCAAAAGACTTAAATTGCCCGGTAAAGTTCTACACAACAGATCGTGGTGTAGATACATTGGCTTTCGTTTCCAAGTTACCGGTGGGGAGAGCAGCACCTTTGTAAAAACGGTTCATAAATCCGTATCCTTCGGGAGGGTGGGCACCATTTTTTATTTTATTTTATTTTAAAAAAAGAGAAAATTCCCTGAAGTTGCATAAAACATAAATTAAACGCCGTGGAACCAGCTTCATAGGGTCTACTCTGAGGTCCTCCCACAGCAGTTTTAAATTGGATGTGAAAGTCTTTCTGCTCATTAGGCCGCAGGGACTGGTTTTAGAGCAGGAATCGACGTCGTAAATGTTAATATGGGTTCTGCCTTTGCCTTAAAAGTCACCGACCACGTCAGCTGGTTTATCCCAGGCATAGTTTCTGTAAACTTTGCTCCCTGTCAACAAGGGACCCAAGGACCACGTACCAAGATATTAAATTAATTTGGAATCGCTTCTAGTTTAGCAGAAATGCCCGGCTATTTCTTCATTGGCTGGT